AGTTAAAGTTAATGAAAGTTAATAATTCGAGTACGTGTATTTCTCGGACCTCCTATTTCGGTAAACCTTACTTGATCTTGAGCGTAATTATTGATTAGTTGCATAATTCGTAATTTAATTTAATAATAAAGGTAAATCCCTTTATTTGACGTAATATAAAGGTATTATATGTTATTAGAGTTTTTTTTGAGACTTGAAATAATAAATAATTATTTTTATACAAAATGGCTCTTGGTGGTTCTTTGCCTCAAATTAATCTTGGTGTCCAAGGTGAGGGGTCTCCACAAACATTGTGTGCTAAATCAGCGGTCGCCAAACTTTTTGACCTTACGGACCAGTAAACTCATGATTTAAATTCCACGGACCACTAATAGGAATTTTTAAGTGTTAAATATATTTATAAAAAAAATGTGTTGTCAGAACACATAAACTGTACCTAGTTAATAAAATGAAACTATTAATTGTAGCCAAATTATAAAAGCTTTATTAATAAACCATAATAAAATAAAAACTGTAAAAACAAAGCAATTAAAAATGGTTAAGTATGTCAAATTTTTAGCGCTATACATTCCTAGTGTGATGGATGTTACGGATATTTGGATCCAATGTTGTTACTGCAAGAGGGAGAACTGAATCTATTTCAACTTGAGATACCTTTAAATGCTCCAACTAATATACATAGTATGTATGTGACAAATAGGAGAGTGAAACATTAGAAGGGTATGAAAAGTGACGAGACAAAACATGTAGTTAAAGCGATGAAGCTACAGCTGTACGACTTTTTTACTGAGTGTTACTCTATGAAATAGCGTTTTTATATTTTTTCACGTATTATTATTGAATTCAATTGTTTCAATGCATCTTAAAGCATAACTTAACGCGAGAGAGAGAGAGAGAGAGATGAGTAAGTATATTCCACATAAATTGTTCTGGGGACCAATGAAATTTTCTCGTGGAGCACCACTTTGGCGACCTCTGTGCTAACTAACGCGTACAAAATTATCTCATGGAACCCGAGATAGTAAACAATAGAATATTCACAGTCTAGTAGGAAGTATGTGTATAAAGAAAAAAATATTTTAATATTCTTTATTATATTATGACAAAAGTTTGAAAAGTGTTGCAAAATCAGGTTATGTATAAGTAAAATTTTCAGTTTTAATGAATAGGTGGAAGAGGGATGAGCTTTAGATACTTGTAACTATATGAACTTCATACAGAACGTGAATCCATTTTGCATACATATTTATTTCTTCTCGATTTTTTTTATTGTGACTCATGGAACCCCTGGGTTTGCCTTGTGGAGCCCCAAGGTTCCGTGGAACACAGTTTGAAGACCACTGTTCTAGAATAAAACTTTTTTGCTAGTACGAAAAGTAGAAAGCTTCGACTTTTCTTGGTTAAATCCACGACAAACAACTTTGAAACGCTTTAGAATAATGTCAGTGGCGTAACGTACACCCCCGCATCGCGGGGGGCCCAGGGTTCTAAGGCGCCCAAAGCCTGACTGACGCAAGTGCCCACCCTTTGTAAAATTCAACGTGGGGGTCCAAAACCTGACTTTGCAGGGGGGCCTAAATGTTCTCCGTTACGCCACTGAATAATGTTTTTCTTGCAGATGAGAAAAAATTCAACATTCCCCCCCCCCTGCCAAATAGGCATACGGTAATGTGGAGAAGAAAAATCGAACTTAATTCCAATGATTTAGTTGAGAAACAGTGAACAGTTCTTGTGTAAGAGTGTATATCAGCTTTAGAATTAGATATTTATTGATGGTATTATGTGAATCATGAACTTTATATTTAAATATTTAAAAAAAATTGAAATTATTCACCCAAAATTTGGGTAGTGGAGATGACCTTATTTTTTTATCAAGATAATGACCCCAAGCACACTCCTCTATAACTGCTCCTAAGTTCTGAAAACACCCTCTCAATCACCTGATTTAAACCAATAGAATATATCTGGAGAGAACTTTAAGTTAGAGTAAGAAGGCATGTTATGAAAACAAGTAAACTAAAAATAATAATCACAGAAAAATTGCGGAGCATTAATGCAGAAATTACAAATAAATAAATAAAATAAAATAAAAACCAGAGGTGACATCTATACCGAGAAATTTTAAAACTTTTGGGGACGATAAAGGAAACACTATTAAGTATTAAGACTACACAATACCATTTTTCAAAAAAAAATTTTGCCGGCAGTTACAGTCAAAATAATTCATGTTTCATGTTTAGATTATATTATTTAGCTGATTCAGTAAGTGAAAAGTCAGTTTGATCAGCAATTATTTTACAATTTTAAAAAATTAGGAATTTTTGAAGTTTTCTCAAACTTTTATAAAATACTCAATTTTTAAATTTTTATAGTCATTTTAAGTTTTTATGTTTCTTAGGTTATTGCAAACAAAAGTTAGTATGGATTTGAAAATATATTCACTTGTCGATTTTTAATAATTTATTTTCTAGAAAAATCTTGGAAAAACACGAAAATTTTTGAAATACCAACTTTAGCATTTTTTAGAAAAATAACTAGAGATCTCAGCCCTAAATCTTTACTAACTTTTATAGAACATACGTTTGGGATTGCATACAAAAAATATTAAAGGCTCTATCTTGAACAGGAAAAAAGCCTTAGGGATTAGAAAGCACTTGTACCCTCAAAATTGAAAGTCTGTGAAAATCGCATTTAAAGCTTGTAAAGTCATAAAACAAAAACATATAATACCCGTAAACCTCTAATTTTTTAATATGTTATTTTCCAATGTATGTTCTACTTTAAAACACTATGTTAATTAAATATGATTGAAAATAATATTTTTAATTCAAAATATATTTTTGCATAATATTGATAATCTTTGTTAAGACGACAGTTTATTCAGCTTAATCCTAACCTAATATTTTCGCAAAAGTTTTGAAGCACAAAGTATTTATGTAAAAAATAATAAGGATTCTAACTTAAGCTAAAAATAGCCAGGTTAGTTCATAAAATTTAATTTTTTTCAGTTTCAAATCGGGCAGTTTAGGAAGTTTTAGCTCTTGTCGTACGACTTTAAAATACTAAAATATACAGATAAAAATACTAAAATATACAAATATATATACAAATATATATATTTTGTTTAGCGATGAAGCGCACTTCTGGTTGAATGGCTACGTCAACAAACAAAACTGCCGCATTTGGAGTGAAGCTAATCCACAAGTGTATGTCGAAACACCGTTGCATCCAGAAAAACTGACTGCTTGGTGCGCTTTATGGGCTGGTGGAATCCTTCTTCAAAAACGATGAAGGCCACAACGTTACAGTCAATGGTGATCGGTATAGAGCCATGACTTTTTCATTCCTGAATTGAACAATCATGATGTCCAGGAGCTGTGGTTCCAACAAGACGGCGCAACATGTCACACAGCTCGTGCCACAATCGATTTATTGAAAGACACGTTTGGTGACCGTCTAATTTCACGTTTTGGACCTGTGAATTGGCCTCCAAGATCTTGTGATTTAACACCGCTAGACTATTTTTTGTGGGGCTATGTAAAGTTATTGGTCTATGCGGATAAGCCACAAACACTTGACAATTTGGAAGGCAACATTCGCCGTGTTATTGCCGATATACGGCCACAAATGTTGGAAAAAGTCATCGAAAATTGGACGTCCAGATTGGACTACATCCGAGCCAGCCGTGGCAGTCCTATGCCAGAAATCATATTTAAAATGTAATGCCACAAGATTATCTTTCGAATAAAAAAAATTCATGTCAATCGAATAATACATCGTTGTTTTATAGCAATTTAAAGTTTTATACCTCTCAAAAAACACCCTTTAGTACTACAATATGTTAAGTATATTGTAGTTTGGTACATTAAGGAAATATTTAGTTATATCTTCAACATTTGAATTCCGAATACTTGTATTAGGAAGTCTAATTGCAGAATAAGCTGACGACTGATTTTTAGATACATCATTTTCATTAGTATTCCATCTCTTCGAAATATTGTTTCTCACAGCAACCTGTGAACGCTTTAGTCATGACATTTTCTCTACAGGGAAAAATTAATGATAAAGCTTATATAAACTATTTTTAAAGCAAAAATTGGCCATGAAATTAATTTTAATTAATTAGTTATGAGAACTCAAAAATCTCAAAACAAAATCAATCAGAAATTATTTTAGCAATGAAAATTGGAATTAATAACCATTTCACACTAAAAGCTCAAAAATATTTTCAATTAATTCAATTTAGGAGTGGAAAAATGCTTTAAAAGGAAAACGAAACAAAACCCCGTAGCTCAGAAAACTTCAAATATAATTTCAAGCATCAGAACTTCGTAGCGTAAAAACTAACTTGCTTACAGATCTGAAATTTGGTGGCAAGCTTCTCAGTGATATGGACCATTAGAAAATATAAACATTTTTTTTCGGTAAATATGAAATTTTTAGGGTACTGTGTAGTCTTAAGTTAAGGAAAAATTACAATAATTAAAACAATATTGAATTTCTTAAAATGCACGAAGACTTGTGAAGGAATTCTTCAGTAGTTCTTTGATTATTAATTTTTAAAAATAAAAGTTATACTATGTTTTAAAAATTGATTTTATTATTCCATTTAGAACAAATTGTAGATACTATAGAAATTACAATTCGGATGCATTAATTTTTATTAAATGAAAGCATAAAATTCCATAGAAAATTTTAATAGAGAACCACTGTATATATATCCTCTCTCCAGGCATCCTCTTCTTCACACAATTCCTACTATATTATTTCCCTCCCTATATATATATCTTGTTCAAATCTTCTATCGTTAATAAAATACTTTCTATTTATCCATTCAAGTTCAAAAACATATTTTTTAAACTTGTAGTGGATGACACTTGATGTTAATGCAGTTTTTTTCAAATATTAATTCATTAATTAAATTAAAAAATGAATAAATTGTAATCAACAAAAATAACAGTCCAACATATACAGAAAGGAAAATCGTACCTTGTGTCCCTGTAGCGCAATGAATAGCGCATTCGACTTCTGATCCAAAGGTCGTGGGTACCAATCCCACCTCTCATTTCTGAAAATGTGATTTCTCTTTTACAATACTATTTTATTAGAATAATTAAATTTAATTAATAAATAAATAGTAGTAAAAACAAAAAAAAGTCCCGAAAACCCTATATAGAAAGGAAAATCGCTTTCCATTTTGCCACTTAATAGTGTGGTTCTGTCAAATGTATATACATATTTATATTAATTATAAGTATTTAATAAAAAGTAACTAAATAAAATTTAAGTAAACTATAAAAAAAAGTAACTAAAATAAGTAGGAATTGATTTTAAAAATTTTATGTTACTTGTTCAATACACAGCTTCGTGCATCAAAATATGAAAAAGAAAACTTTATAGAGAACGCTATAAAGAAAATAATAATCAAAAAATAAAAAAAAATGTTAATTTTTATCACATATGTGTAAAATCTAAGCTTCAGTTACTTACAAGTAACAGAACTACGTTGATATTGAATGAATTGCTATTAAAATAGTTAAAGAGATGGTGAACTAAAACTCAATTTCTTCAAAGTCTATTAAGCACTATACTACTCATAATAACAATAATCGATTTTCTCGGCACAAAAAGAACGTGGCACGCCTTTTCTAAAGTGCTTTTATTTGTTCTTCGTGATCTTAAATTATAACAATTGATTATTTTACTCCCTATAACTCGTCTCATTATTCTGTTTTTGAAAGGATTTTTTTCCATTTAATGTATCCGACTGCGTTCGGAACCGTGATTTTAAAAAGGCACAAAAATGGAATATTTTCATGATATTTAGTGTCACTTAGATTAGAATACGTATATAAAATTGTTTTAAGGTCATTTTGACAAAAAAATTATTTAAATACAATATTTTGGCAAAAAATTACTTAGAATAACCTTTTTTCAATATGTTTCCCTTTTTTAAGAAATGCTCCTAAAATAATGATATCTTGCTTATGTAAAGTAAAGACTTTTCCATAGAGTCTGAACTATTTTTTTTTTGAAAAATACGCATTATTTTCACTAAAATAATTATCGGCGCTTTTTTCTTAAAATTTCTCCCCTCTGTTGTCGTAAAACATGGATAAACCCACTTCTAAGTTATATATTTCAAAAATTCTAGTTGAACCTCTATACAGAGTTCTGAGCTATACACAGATAAAATATTATTGTAATAGAAACCTTTTTCATAAAAGGAGAAGATTTTAAAAATGGGTCATTTTATGTTCATTTTTTGTCAAAATATTGTACTTAACTAATTTTTTATTGTAATAATATTGTTAAAACAATTTTATGTACATTTTCTAATATAAGTGACACTAAATATCATAAATATTATCCATTTATACACTTTTGCAAAATCACGGTTTCGAACATAGTCGGATACCTTAAATGTTTAATTTTATACTTATTAAAACTGGAAAGTTTCCTTGAATCATGTTTAAAAAATATTAAATTATTTCAGATAGAAATACAGTAACACGTAACCTATTATGACTCTAATGATTCGCCAATGATTATGATTATGAATTATGATTTTCTCAAAGTGTAACATCTCTTTTTTTAAAAAAGCTATATTCTGCAGGTATTAAAAGAAAAGAAGTTAGATATGGTAATGCGTAGACAGAGCAAAAATGGTCCCAACGAGAGTCCCAGTGAGCGAAAAAAACGAAGAGCTTTCTTAGATTTACTCTTGGAGCATCATTTGATAGACCCATCTTTCACAGAAGAAGACATTAGAGAAGAAGTGGATTTGTTTATGTTTGCAGTAAAAATTTTAAAATTTTTTAGATGTGCCACTACATCTTCCGTTATCTTAAGGTTTTCGAATTAATGTCTTTTGTTTCTCTTATAGGGTCATGATACCACAGCTATGGCCCTCAGCTGGGCTTTGTACTGCTTGGGGCAGAATCCAGAAATTCAGCAAAGAGTCCAGGAAGAATTAGATGACATTTTCGGAGATGACATCGACAGGAATATAGTGCGTGAAGACCTAACAAAAATGAAGTATCTTGAATGTGTTATTAAGGTAAAGGGGAAAGTATTTAAGATTCAGAATATACTATTGAGTATATAATTCTATAAATTTTATGATCTGATCCTCTCTGCAACCCTACATGCAGTGGCGTAACTTACACTCCCGCAACCTCCACATAGGGGGGGGGAGGGGCTAGGATTCTAGGGGACCCAAAGCCTGACTCATGTCAAGTACGTACCCCTAGTAAGGTCCGGCTTGGGGTCCAAAACCTGAACTTCTAGTGGAAAATAATCTTTTTTGTTACGCCTCTGCATGATGCATGCGTAAATTAGAGGCAAAAATAGCGGAGAAAAAAAATTTAAGGCACAGAAGTTCAAAGGGGATAAACATTAATGACAAATAAAATAACATTGCAATAATAACATTAAAAATTTTATAAATTCTAGAAAAATCACATATTTTGACAAGTTTTTCCACCTTTTGCTGTTAATGGCCATTTGAAAGTTCAGTGAAATGGAACCATCGCGTTGAGTGTCCCCGACGGGTATCTACTCCAACGCCAATGAATTCCACATATCAAAGAATAGACTCGAATTGAATTTTCAAGCTTCCCCATGCATGAATTGTATCCGATGACACACAAACACACTTTCTTAGTAAATAAGTTAAAGGCAATATGTAATTAATTTACTAGAAGTACACTTGATATACTTCTTCTCTTAGAAATGGTTATTGAATACTGCGGTTGTCTTTGAAAATTCTTACGTTTTGTGAAGTTTCATCACATTGCGATCATACCATCTCAAATATTCCCAGCATTATAGGCTTTGTGAATGTCTTACAAGAAGGGTCTTTATAATTTATTTTAGAAGGTATTGATTGTAAATAATATTCTTAAAATCTGACATTTTTTCTTAAAAAACTATATGTTGGTATAATTTCTATCTTTCTAGATTAACACTTTAATAATTCTGTAAATAATGGCTAGCTTAAAGCAGTCGTGATTGGCAAAAAAAAAAGTATCTTACTTATGATATTTCAGGGCTAAAACTTGTTTAGATTCGTACAAAAAAAGTAAAAGAATAAAAATAGCCATTTGCACAAGGGTTCCTAAATATGCAGGAAAGTGGGGGAAGGGATAAGAGGAAATAAAATGGCAAAGTTACAGCCTTGTTGGTATTGCAGTACACTCTGTCTCAATAAATAAGCTTCAAGCAGTGAAATTAGCATATCTCAAGAAGAATAGAGGTTACAGCAACGTTTCTCAAACTGTGGGGCGCGCCCCCTTGGGGGGGGGGCGTGACGACTCTACGAGGGAGGCGCGAGCATATTGAAAAGTCAAAAACAAGATTATTTAAAAATTATTATTTTGCTAAAAGTAAGCAAACAAAATACATTCAGACATAATAAAAAACAAAATACACATTTACACTGATATATTACACTTATAAATGTAACAGTGTTACACAATGTATTTTATAATTAATATAACAACACTAAGTTAAGAACAAATTTAATATTTGCCAGTGACCTCATGGGATTGTCAGATATAAAATTATATACAAAAGTTAACACTTATTTTTATAATTTTTACGGCTTATAATTAATCCCTTAACTCAGTGTTTCTCAAACTGTGGGGTGCGCTCTCTAGGGGGGCAGGATAATCTCACCAGGGGGGCGAGCATATCGAAAAACCGAAAATAAAAGATTTAAAAAAAGTATTAATTTACTAAAAGGAATCAAGACAAAATACATTCTGAAATAATAAAAAATACACTTTTCTAGTGATATGATATACTTATAAATGCATCTGTACTTATGACTAAAAGTGTACTGCACATTAAATGTACTTTGTTTAATTATTAATTAATTTGTACATTAATTCATCAATACTAAGTTAAGAACAAATTTATTAATTACTAATGACCCCCATGGGCTTATCATATACAAAATTATATACAAAATTTAATACGTATCTTCATAATTTGCACAGTTTATAATTAAAATCGTATTGCAGCTTTAGTGTCAAAGTACATTTTTATTGAATTCAATATATACATTATTACTATATGGAGGGGAGGGCGCCATGAAAATTATGATTGAAAATTGGGTCGCAAACATTGAAAGTTTGAGAAGCACTGGGTCACAGCAACATTATTTGCATATGCAAATTGTAGTGAAATACGTACGATACCTTTCCGTAGTAAAATATTTGCATAATCACTCATAATGCTGTGTAGTGCAAGAGATATAAAAACAGGCTCATTTTGGCCATCCCCATTTCTTTCGTTTCATTGGATGTTGCGTTTGTTTGGTGTTCATTTCTTTGTTTCAAGTTTCTTAAAATGAGTCACAAACAGCATTTGAATGAAAACGTAATAAGTACGCTGTCGGACAGATCCAATCTGGAGGACGACCGTCTGAAGTTGCTTGAGCCTTAAATGTCAATCGTTCGATCATTAATTGCTTGATGAATCACTTTCAAAAGGAACATACAGTGTCACGAAGACCTGGTAGTGGATGTCCTAGGGTTACAAACGCCCTCGAAGACCGGTATCTGTGTCTGCAAGCTTGGCGCTATCGGACGAGTTCATCCCGTGAACCTCCTTTGAGCATTGTGACATTTTTAGGAGTAATAATATTCCAACGCACTGTTTGTAGACGGCTGCATAAAAGTTATCTGTATTCCAAATTTACAGATGGGGGTATCTGTATTCACCGTTCGGGTACCATTGATGTCGTTTCACAGAAGACTTCGGTTACAGAGGGCTCTGGATGGCAACTATTGGCCACCACAGAAATAAGCCAATGTTTTGCTCACCGAGGAGTCACGATTCTATATAAATGACAATTCTCGACGGTTACGAAGTTAATTCAAGCTCACAATATTACTGAAAGGTATAAAGGTTCACAATATTATTTCAGTCGTGTTGGTGTCATTGTATGGGTAGGGATGTAAGTCAGTGATTGAACTGATCACCACGTCTTTCGCCCCCGTTTAATGATAGCAGTTATTTGTCGATATACAAACCTCGACCTATATAATTGTTTATATT